ACTGTTCGCATTTGTAACGCATACTGAGTTTATGTGGTTTGAATACGAACTTTAGACTTCGAAAAGTTTGTGTGCCAATTTGATTATTGTGCCATATTTATGATCGAGAATTCACATCTGGGTATATGTTTACTAAGATGTGTCTAAGAAAATATCTGTAGTTTTCTGCTATTTTTGACTCTTAAGCAGAGGAAGGGGAAATGCAGTCCCCAGTAATCTGTTCGCGTTCAACTTTTCAATCATACCTGTAGAAGAAATAGAAAAACTTACATTTAACAAATATAATAAATCTTCTGACCTCTTCCACCACACAGCTCTTGTCGGCTATTGCTGAATTTGCCACTCTTTAACTGCAATCAAATGCATGTCCGTCTGTATGATAAATGTTTAAAAGTAGGCGATTTAAATAAATTTCTCTTTTTATTGAGTGCCCTTTTAGGTCCTACATCCATTGAACAACAAACCGTATTTCCATCAACTATAAAATATTTTATTGGTGTTACCTCCTGCGTATGCAGATAAATGTGTGCCTCAACTGTGCAATCGCTTGATATTTTCTAATTTTTTTAATAACGAAATTTACTTGACTCACCCAAACAAAAACACAGTAAGGAAGAGCTAATTTCTCATGTGCCCGTATATGTTTTATCCGCAAGGATCAAAGCTGAAATTCATGTATACAAGTCGTAAACTCGCTTATTCTAATCACTACATTTTAAATGTACGAAATATTAATATTAAGATCAACATAATTAACTCAAATGAGATAAATGTGGTATAAACTAAAGCTAAAATTAATATGTGGGTTATAAGGAAAATATTAGCCAAAGGATATTAAATCGCTATTTCATTCTAAAATAATGAAAATTTTTATATATGACATTAAAGTAAGATGTATCCACTAAATTTTACTTAGATATAATTACTAAAAATAGATGCCCTTTGAATTTCAATGATAACCTTAAAATATTGACTATTTTTTAGTATATAAGGACTACAAGAAGTATCGCATTGATTTCATTCAATTAAAGCAATACGATATTCTGTTAAAAAAATTGACTATTTATGGAAGGTAACCGGTATGCAAATCATCAGTTTTACCGAAATCGAAAGTGCTCTTTTAGGGGCAATCCGTAAAGTCGAATACCAATGATTATGGTGGAAATCGTCCTACGCACCCGTTTTATTTACGCTGTCAATCATAAATTTGTGTTACCTCTGAGATTTTTGGATATACGTGCTGTTGAAAGCGCAATGCTTGTCCACATTTTAAGTACAGCGTAAAGTATTCCTAACCAAAAATATTAGTATCACTATCACCACTGAAGTGGAATAATCAGTTTATACTGTATTTTTAACGCAGGATTTCTCTTTTATAAACGTATGTGCATTAATCATATACTTTCAGTTACAATTCGCAACACGACTTCTACAAAGCCGCCAAACGCAAAATTGCGAAAAAATTAGTAATCACAAAAAATATCCGCATAACTTTTGTTGTTATATTTGCTTGTATGACTTTTTACACTTATTCCGCATTTAGTTACCCCCCGTTAGGTTCCCACCTGTCTGGGTCGTATTTTTACATTATTATT